TTTACCTTCTCAGTGAAAAACAGGACTTCAAACTTCAGCTTCAGAGTTTCACTGGATGGGTTTGCTAGCATCTCGTCCAACTTCCCTCTTTGCTCGGCTTACTACCGGTTAAGTGAGGTTAAAGGATGAGTTGGCCAATGATCGAACCTCGGATCACATCAGTGGTTGGAGAACAGTGCTGGAGCAAGCAGTTGTCCCCTGGGCTCTGCGGTCACGCAACACTAACCCTTTTCTGTTTCAGGTACCCGAAGAATCAACCAACTTCCACATTGTGGGCTGTCCGGAAGTAGCGACCGCCCACATACTTCGAAGAGCACATGAAGGCCCCTCCCCGCGAGTATCATTCTCCTTTACCCACATCACCTTCATCATTTTACTCTCCTAAGAGTTGGTTGCTACGATTTTCTGATTGAATGTACACCTAGCAATCATTCTGCTCAGATGATACTAGACATACGATGATTCTTTTCTATGAGTATTATTTATTTTACTTAAGAGTCTTCAATTACACACCTTATGAAATCAAAGTGAAAATTAATTAAATAATCTACTTTCCAATAGTTAGTCGAATGATAAGACGCAACTAGTAATGTTTTAATTGATATTTTGTTTTTGTCAATCAATCATAGGGTTTAACGAAACCTTCTTCAAATATTTACTGTCTCTATATGAAAGAATTTGTCGGGAGATCCAAGTTCGATTTTCGGTTGATGTATTCTTAAAACTTACCTAGTCGATAACAAGTCTGTAAAAGAGGGAGGTTGTGCTTGTGTGTGTGTGTGTGTGAAGCAAACAACCCCCACCCTATGAAAATAACACCATCACCACTGAAACTTTATAAAATGGCTTGATCCTTTTGTTTCATTCGGAACGCACAGAAATCAATAAAAAAGGTTGACTTTATTATTATTGCTCCCTTGGGTTCGAAGTGGGTCATAGGGCTTCTGCAACACACCTTCACTTTGTCCTGTTTTTTGCTGTCCTCCTAAGTTGGCTCAAAGATTGCCCATAATCTCTCATCTCTTCCAACTCGCACGATATCTGCCATGTCACCTTAGGACGATCTACTCGTCGCTCCCATTTTGGATTCCTTTCGATCATTGAGCGCGATGTCATTCGATGGTTTTCTCAATGTATGCCCCATTCATCTCCATTTTTTCCTACATATTTGTTGAGCAGTCTTGGCTGTTGGTTGGTTTGTTCATAGTCAGAATTTCTTGTTGCTAATTCTTTCTAGTTGACTTAGTAAATTACAATTTATAGCCAGAGATAAGCATTCATTAGGAGTTTGTTACAGCTAATTACTTATCATAACCATAATAGCATTGTGTAGTTAAGAACATTTAACAACTTTTGAAATTAATTGACTTCAAGTCAAATCTACACATATACACCCTTTTCGACTTCATTTCATGTCATTATCATTGTTCTCTATTCTACTTATAGTTATTAATTAATATTTACGTCACGAAAGACCAATTTAAATTCATTGTTCGAAATCTGTCACCAGTATTGATTGTATTTAACTGAATTATTTAATTATACTCAAGTCACAGAAATGAGCCTCTGTGTATATTTCATTTCTTTTCGAGTTTGACAACGAGCTGACATCACTTAGAGTGGCGTAAGATCTTCAAGGAGTATTGGACAACTGTTTCATCTAGTTTGGGACTCTTTGACAGTACGCACCTGCCAGAATTAGAGCTCATGACCTTCCGGTTACAAAGCGGAGCTCGTAGACCATTCGGCCACTGGGAGACACTATCCAATGGCCCGTGAATTGTAACCTCTATGAATTCCCAGATTCTAGCACGACCATTAGCCAGACTAGGAAGAAACAACCACTTAGTGCTCCCTGGTTTTCCAATGGCTCTCTAACTGATGTCAGCTCGTGATCAGACTTAAACGGAATCCCTACAAACTAACTGGTGAAAATATTTCGTTCCTGTTTAACTGCTGACAACTTCGCTGAACTATTCATCTTATTATTTACTGAGTGTATCCAATGTATGAAGAAGATAAGTTTTTGACGAAGTTGTATTTTCTGAGCTGGATGGCTTACTGAGAAGATTTCATTGCCTAAATAGTATGTGCTGAATATGTTGCTTGGTAAAGTAATGAAATCTTCACAAGTAAAATATCCAGCCCAGAGAAAAGAACTACATCACAATGACCCAGCCGAGCTACAAATCTTCTCCATTATATCTAAGAAGATAGTTTCTCAGACTGGATAGCTCATTGGTAAATTCTGTGACCTCAAAGGCATTTGTACCATATAAATAAGAGTAATTATAATCAATACTCACTTAAAGTGAAACACAAGGGTGTTTTGAGCTCAATCCAACAATAAAAAGTCGAGTAGACAAAAGAAAATTTGAGCGAAGAATATTCTTTTAGATAATTTCCTCTTCCAGCTTTAAAATTATATATATATTTATATATACCTACTTAGGATGGTTTTATTTTGACAAATCACACAGTGTTATTAACTGATTTGATATGATTAGGAGCTATAGTTTGTGCTCGAAACGTCATCAGTGAGAGACATGGGGACTTAATGGATCTGGGAGATAACACAGAGTGAATGCACCTGAACCACTGACAACAGTTTTGATCCAAACCAGCTTACAGTCTCAAACCATTGGTTTTTAGCATCCCGACAACCCCAAACAGCAAGTCTACATTTCCCTACATGCCTCAAACCAGCTGTCAAAAGCTTCATAGACTGATTTCAGTTTTTGGTTTGACCACTGACCTCAATCAGCGCCAGCTTACAGTGTTTGTTGAGAAAAGCGATGCCTCAGCGTGATCAGTACGTGTCGTAGTCATCTCAGTCGATATAGCCTCACAACCTCACTGACTGATATATCCTCCTTAAATAACAATCTAAACCTGACCTCAGTATTTCTCACCAAATTATACCATTTAACATAATAGGTAGAACGCCTCCATTTTGAATGGTCACGTCTCACAGCCATGAAGAATGACAGAACACCCATTTTTGATCAATAGCTGGATATCAAGTCTACGCCATAGATGACGTGAGTCGGCTAATACTGCATTTTCCCATTGTATTCATGCTCAGGTTTTTTAGTAAGTGATCAGTCCCTTAGGGCTGATGCATTTTCACAAGTAAATGAAATAGTCAATTCACTCAACTGCTCCACTCCCTGTTTTATAACTGAGATTCAGTTCCGAGCAGCCCTATAGCATCATCTTGAATTTTGACATAGGTGAACAGGATGTCAAACATACTGAGTTTTGTGCTCTACACTTTGTCAGCCTTTCTATCAAGACAGATAACACCGTCTGCATCCTCTAAACTGATTACGCTGTTCTTTGTTAACACGTCCATCTTCGCATTGCTGAGGTCATTTAAGGTCACATCCATTAGTACATCCATGATGAAAGTCAGCTAAACAGTAGGCGTCCGTGATGGATACCAGTGGCTATCATCACTTCAGATGACATCTCTGCGTAAGTTTTCAGAAGGCTGGATAAGTACGATTGGAATGCTTTGACTAGTGCAGTATACTTTCTCAGCCCTCCCTTCACGGCCAGTACCTCTCGGTAGACAAAGTCAATCACCTCCCTCAGGTCAAAAAATATGGTAAATGTAGGACGATTGTAAGTATGCCAGTGTTCCAGAATTTGCCGAAGATTGAAAATATGATCAACACATACTCTATATTCTTAAAAGCCTGTCTCGTTTTCACAGGTTTGTTTCTACCGAGCACTGCTTTATGTACGCATGATTATTGAACCTAAGACCTTAGAAGCTGTATTAGTCAAGCTAACTTCTTTGTAATTATCATAGGAAGACTTGTCTCCCATCCTATAAACTGGAGTAATCAGTGATTCAGAACAGTCTAACGGGACTATCTCTGATTCCCAAGCGTTACCTAGTATCTTAGACAACCTAGGTAACAAAGGTGTTTAATATTCGACTACATGGGAACCATTCATTTCGTGTAGTTCATTCTCATGTCTGGAAATGAAATTATGAAGAGATTAAGCTTGCTGCCATCTGAGCTAGACGACTGAATAATTTATGAGGAGAAGTTACTCATACTGCAACAACGTGGTTGAGGAGTACACAGCGTCTGATTAGTGAATATAGTGAATTAGAGCAATAGGGAATTTATAGCAATGAGTCTGAGCTTATCACTTTCTCCACCTGATGATTCACATACTGTGAGAATCGGAATATCCTCCCAAGTCGCAGACACAACACTCGTAGACATTGACACATTGAGACTACTTTTGAGAGGATAGCATAAATTGTCACCAAATATTATGAGGATAATGCACTTCCACTCTGATATTTTCCTCTCTGTAATTTTCTACACATTCGGCGTTACAATACCCACAATTTATCTGGTATACGCAATTCTGCTGATTTTCTTGTCCTATTTTGTCCCTAACATTCACCAGTGATGAGCGTAATTTGCTATTTGCACGAAAATACGCTTTTATGTTATGATCGTTAAGGATTAGCTTTATTTCATCTGATGTTTATTTGCGGTAGGGAATCAGCGATATGCTAACCCGTAAAACATACACTGATTATTAATATGTGGCTTAAATTTTCACGGATATGTGAACTATGTATACCCTGTATTTTGAATAATAATAATAGTAATAAAAGCTTATCTTATTTAAATCTGACCTTAATGTGTCTACTCTATCTGGTGGAATATTCTCAAGTGATCAGTTGATTATTGTGTCGTGTTTGGAGGTGGATTCGAGACTAGGTAGATCACAACCATAAATCAGTAACACTCGGTTATTACAATTAAAGAAGTATCACTAGAACAGTTACAAGAATAGCCAACTAAGTGTTTATTTCTCTATAGAATTTATTGTTCAGTTATCAAACCATGTAGAAAATCTTAAACTCTGATCTACACAACATCAGTCTGTTAATTAGACAGGAAATGACTCCACTTAACAATCAAATTTACAATAAAAACATTTCAAAAACCATCCACTTCATTTTATTCTCAAAAGGAGAGCCGATTCTATGACATTCATTACTCCATCTCTGTTATATCTCCTATGACAGAGGACAGTAGTTTACAAACAAGAAGTGGACAGTTAATCAATGAAAGACTTAGTCACAAAATGTTCCTTTAGGAAACAGTTAGTTATTTGACTATTCAGGTTATTTCTGTGTCTATGTGTGTGGATGAAACTGACCATCACAGTGCAGGCTCAGATTTTTGGAAAACTCTTAAGTGACAACAAGTACATGACTGTTGTGGAGAAATGGTCTGTACTTCTTTGTGCCATTTTAATCGAAGAGGTTTCCTATTCACACAAATAACCCGCTTGCTTTTTCAGTACTACTACTATTATTATTATTATACACAATCAATTATATCTTAGCTAACTGATATAAACTCGGTAACTGGGGTGATTTGGGTTTATAAATTGGTCGAATATTAAAACTGTACAATTCATCATAGCATTCTTTCGGTGCTAGAATTGTTGAATTGATTAGCGGAAGGTGTAGAATACCACGACGATTTCTAAAATGAATTAATTCAATGGATCGCTTTTGTTTAAATTTCTCTGATGTTTGTTTTTTGTTGTTACTGTTGTTGTCATTGATGTTGTATAGTGGTTCCGTTTGCACAGCAACTGCATGTACTGATGGTGTATTTGTTCGTTTTCCTGACTGACGTGAACATTTTGATAATTCTTTAAGTAAATCTGAATTGATAGTTTGTGGCTTGTTCGGATCAACTGGTTCCAAGCCAAATTTCGATGCTAAGGGGAAGTCTATGGGTAAACTAACAGTTGTAAAGAAAACCAAAAAAAACAATAATTTATATCAAAAGAAATACATATATGCAATAAAATGAATAAATCTCTAAAAGATAAGTGTATTTCTCAGTAGTTATCAGTATGTCATATTTGGGACCAGTAAACGTATGTAGCCACATGAACTACGCCTAGGTAACACTGAATCAACTACCGGTTGCCTGGACTGAAAAGTTTTACTCCAATCTCAAGGTTGTAAATACGTCCTGCTGATAAGCACTAATGAACGAAACAAACAGATTTATGATTCATTCTTGATTGTTCTCAAACAATCAATCTGTATACGTTATCCTAGATGACACATGTGTTATAATTAGAAGAAATTTAGATTTAGAATACTCTCTCTATCAGACTAATAAACAACATAAAACTATATACTATTGATTTATTGAGATGAGTAATTGTATACCAATCATATCAACCTGTAGGTATTGTTTGCTAGACATATCGGGGTGATATGAACACCAGACTATCGTCTCACTCGTTTAGGATGGGACTCATCAGCAGTGTACCCGGTATGTCTCAGCTCAGATAATACAACCATTTCAAACACCACATATCAATATCATCTACAAAGTAAACTGGTTCACTTGTGAAAAACAGTATATTGATCAGAGAGGGAGTCACTAGAAAATCAGAGTCCAAAAAATAAATCAACTATCAAAAGAGACGATGTATATTCTTTCATATTCATACATGTAGACAACTATGGACACCAATTTGACTGGGCATATGCAGAAATTTTAAACAGTGGAAACATCAAGAAAATTCCTGGAATCCTGGTACTCAGACGAATCTGCTATCAACAGACACATCGTTATAGGTCGGATTAATCAACGAATAAGGATTAAGGTGTATGACAAAAAGAGTCAAATTACAAGTCAATAAAAACGATCAATAGTGATGTAAATAAACAGACAGTCACAACAAATGCTGTCAGGAGAATTCAGATAAGTTCGCTTCATATTAGGGCTTACGCTGGGGAAGTTAGTAAATTCATCGATGAAATGTTAAGAAAGAGAATGACCACACAACAAATCAAATAGCATACACACAAAGGCTATTTATGGTAATCTGTTTATGTACACATTCGGTATCATGCTTTATCTATAAATAAAAATTGGATTAGAAAATGTCTAAATAAAACTGGTATAGTGACGCTCTAACTTTACTTGAATTAATATATAGTATAGCTTATTGACTTGGCGCGTCATAAAGAGCATCTCAAACAAACTACAGACCTTCATTAACAGTTGTCTTCGCTCAATACTACTCAAGATCAGATGGCCAGAAAAGATCAGAAACAGGGATCACTGGCAATGAGTGAACCAACCAACCAGGAACCGATTGTGAAAAAAATAGGCAGGAAGAAATGGAGATGGATTGGCCATAATCTGAGAAATCAAACAATCAAGTGACATCATTAGACAAGATATTGCTCGAGGGAAAGCCGAAAGGGAAGCGGCGAGTCGGTCGTCCAGGGGTGACTTGGAAGAATTCATGTGAAGAGGAGATGAAAGCATGTGGGCAGACCTGGAGCGGGGTGAAAAAGTTCGCAGAAAACCGAAGGCAATGGAGACACGTACCTGAAGCCCTATGTTCCTCTAGGAACTAAAGGATACAATAATAAAAATAATAGCTTATTGAAAACCTGTGCTTATTTCCAACTTCCTTCAATCTTTCAAGTCAACATAACTGCAGTCAGTTTGTTCCTTTTATAACCATTTCTAACGTTTGAATATGAACCGTTTCACAGTTCTGTGCAGTAAACATACTAATCCATTTAATATTTCGATTAACCATAAAACGGTTGTAGTAATATAAGCTAACTAATCGCCCTTCTGAAATAAAAGACGATGCTGCAGGATTGGTAGTCACTGGCTCCTAATTTACAGATACAGATTGAAATGACCACTTCAGCGCAAAGTTCTACTCTGAAACTCAGTCAATCAGTTTAAAGCTTCATACAGATGTACATCAGTTTAAACTGCTACACTTTGAAATAACACATAATGAAGAAGATATAAGAGACAGAATAATAACACAATTAAAGAAACGTGCGATAGGAAAATTGAATGAACATTGTTGAGAATATTTGAAATTTCGAAGCTTATCAAATCTGCATTTATCTGTGCGATTATGGAATATTTTCGACTATATCATCACTGAGTTTCCAACGACTAATTTCCAACATCCTGAAAATCTAAACACTCTAACTAACACATACGTCACTCAGAGCAGAAATCAATTTGTTCAATTGTAACGGGAGACGGTAAGAGAATTGGTGACGGACCTTTATTAAGGAAAAACACTTAATATTCATGCATTCTCAGCTATATTAAAGTTCGGCTTGGTAACAGGAGAATAAATTGTTCTGATTAAACAATTTTTCCAATGAGGTTATTTCACGTCCAGAGTGTAAACTAAATCCAGATCTTAAAAACAAACACTTCTACCCCCGTGGACATTGACTTAAAATATAGTTATCTCAGTTTTGGCCGCTTTCGATCAATCCGCATCACGCTACACATTGATTGATGCCATGTTTTAGCATGATCAGAATCAACGCTTTCGTCATCATACTCAACTATGAAGGCAATGTGTCCCATCATGTTTAACATATAAGGGATATAAATCAGTTTTATTACTGTACAGTTTGCATTTGTATCATGAGCGAATTTCGGTCTCTTTTTTCAAATTTCCAGTAGATGTGCAGCTATGACTAAAACAAAATGTCCTATTTAACTTTCAAACTATAAAATACGTCTTGTATGATTTATTACTTTGGAAATCATATGTTTTACGAAAAAAAGAATACTAAACTCATGCAGAATTAAATAAATATTACTGAGTTATTTGGAATCATAAAAGCTAGACGGTTCGGGTAGTTGTTTCCTCATCCTTTGGAACTCTTCAGTGATACATGCACACATGACCTCACTGAAGATCGAACGTAGGACCTTCACGTTACTGATGAGGTCGCTGAACATTCAACCACTAGGATGGAATTTAAAACTGTTTGATACTCTCCGAACAATGTCTATTCTCAATCTAAACTACAAACGTTCTTTATTATTTGCGAGAAATTGAACTTACACTTTCACTGCATGTATTTTGTTAAGAAACTAAGCTAATCTGTATTTTGTGTTAGACAAAAATACATCCACTCACTGACTAAAATACTCACTACACGTAGTTTCGAAAATCGATAATACTTAAATAAATCATATGTTTGTAGAGTAATATAAGCTACACACTAAAGTTACATCTTATCAATTTCAAAATTTAACTTATTACAATTTAAAGCAGACTTTGAAAGATAATTATTATTATTAGGTGGAAATTACTTTATTTCCGTCATGTGAATGTTGAATTGAAAATAATCTTTGAGATGTTTTTGTTTGAAGAAGGAATTTCAACGAAGTAATGGTCAGTATCTTCAATGTCAGTTAGAAATTAAAAACATGAACTGTTGATTTGTGAGAATCACGATAAATTTTGTGTTAAAAGAACTGGACAGCTGTTTCGTACCCTTTCTGAATTCTTCATCAGTATGCAAACATGACCTTCGGTTTACAGTGTGAGTTCATTCAATCACTGGGACGGAATTTAGTCGTCCATAAATTATAACTTCTGACAGTTTGACGATTATACCGCAACCGCTAACCAATGTAATCAGGGAGTTTTTGTCCTCATACCTAACTTGGTGAACCACACCGATCACCACCTATAGCTAGAACTTCAGGTAATTTCATCCCCTATTCAGTTAGTAGTGAGTACTAGAATGATTTTTAAATGTTGGTTTGCAGAGATTTTGAATTATTTCAAGCAACTTCAAGTAGCTTATTCTTCTTAGTTGGAGGCTTTTTAGCAATGTACAACCAAAAGAAAATAAGTAAAGACATTCAGGACTCCTGGATGCTGCTACCAGCACTTTGGAGTTAGAAAAAATGGAGATGGACTGACTGAACTATCAAAATAGAAGTTTGTACGAAAATGCATCGCCTGGATTTGCTAAACACCAATAAAGCATAAATGAAAGGAGCAAATAGAAATACTTCAATAAGGAAATGCGTTGGGGAAACACAACAATTGGATGAAGACTTTAAAAACGAAAATTGATTATATCTGTGCTATTTCGAATGATTTTAAGGCATTTTCAAGAAACTCCGCAACCAATAATTCTTGATATCCTGGAGATCCTACCCAGACAGCATTTACCTTCATATTTTCACAAACCATCAGTTATTATCTTTAAGGATTAGTGTCATGTTTTGGTCTGAGCACCTCAAATTTTCTTCATAACTTTGTTCGACTTCTGCTAACGTCGTTCGTCAGGGAAGGCAGTCTCTTGACATAACCTAGTCACCTCAGTTAACTAAAGTACGCCAACTCATCGACTGGATTTCCCTTCTCACCTAACACTCTATGCTCATCGTCACTATTAAACAGAATATTGCTGAGTGTAACGCTCGAGAATAAACGGAAGTATCCATTGTCAAAATCGCTAATGAGTGCATAAGGAGTAAAGGATGTTTTCTCCCGTTTCCAAAATTTAAGAAATTCTACATATTTAATAATTTTAAGACGTCGTTTTAAAATGAGTACACTGAAGTTTAACCGACTGGTCAAGACTAAGTGTTTCATATCAACTCACGTCAGTCACCGTAACTTCATGTCTTGTAATGCTAACTAACGTGATATTCACAATAAATATGTACTTTTAATATTAGATAAAAATAAATTTGTTAATGTTGAGAGAAGCGACTGTATGATGACTGTACTTTGAAGGTATAATCAAATGCTAGTTAACAATTCAGGATATTCTGAGCTAATTTTCGCTCATCGACTTTTCAATTGAATAACTTTAACACCTGAAAACTAACTCATGATAAAACGCGAAGGTCAGGATGAAGATATCACCATCTAGAAACTGTACAGCATAACTTTCAAGTAGTAAGAATATACTTATCTGGAATTTGACAACAAGTCCTTGTGACGCAAAGCTAACAGTTAAACTGCAAGCATCTTAATATCCTGGAATTCTTCTCTTAATAATAACCACCTCATTACCACGAAGAGAAACCGTTGATTAACTATCGGTGAATACAAAAACGTTAGATTGTATTTCTACAAATTGTGGTAATTATATCACGTTACAAAGACTGGAACTCTACTGGGAAATGCATCAGTTCAGGTGATCACAATTCAAACAAGCAATATACTCATGCTATGATGAACAGAGGATTACGCGGAAAAGAACAGTAGGATAAAGATTAGAGAAAATCTTCAAAATTGAAAACAAATCGTAAAAAGAAAATGCATCCGAATGACTTTGAGACATTTCCAAAACACTATTCAACAAGTTTTTCCTAGGGCCTTGTAGAATGGGGGTAGATAATCTTCACCTTCCTATGTGGCTTAGATAAACAATCAACCACTCCAAAGATTTAATCTATACTTCTGTCTGACCTACTGTAACTCTTACCCAGCCTTATACGATGGTATTTCACAACATCTTAAGTAAACTTCAACTCCTCAAATAACACTCTACGTCTGACCTGATTACTGATGAACATATAGCTGCACTTATCGCAAGCAACTGAACGTACATATCTAAAGTCGGAAACTTTTAATTTAACGTATATATTGCCTTCAACAGCGCGGTCTCAAAGCCATGAGGTAGAAAAGAACGAAATCCTGTGCAGAACATACACTCACTGATACGCGAGTAGATATCACGCTGACGCCAAAGATGACATGAGTTCGCTAATACCCTAGAAGCATTTTTTATCACCAAGGCTTGAGTGACTCGGTCAATATACTCAATTATTTTAATTCATATCCGTAATGTAAGAGTCACTGAGGACCACCTGCATAGCATCATCTGTTTTCAAACAAGGGCAAACAACGTGCTACACATAACCAATTTTGTTTCTACAGAATGCGCAGAGCACTTGGCATTTCGCCCGATTTTCGAATTAACAGAACTACAACAGAATTAATTAACAATTGTGACATTGTTCATTCTTGGTTGGCATTACTGGTTACCCTGACTTCACAAAGCAACCATCCATAAGCTTACATATGCTTTTATGAATTCAAGTAGACTGTTTCAATTAGCGTTATAAACTTCATGGATAATCTCTCAATAACCAAACTTTATTACAACATGTCAAAATAACCGGCGTTAAAAATTACCTCCAAGTCAAGAAATTTGGAAAGTGGTAACAAGTGTGTTTGTATTTCAGGTGAACCTTCCCCCTGATCTGATATTACAATTTTAAAGCTTTTATTGACGGATCCCTGAAAAATGTTCGGTACTCTAATCATCTCTGGAGTTACGTCTTAACCATTTTACTGCTGTTTTGAGAATTTAACTCAATAGGCAACTGTTCACTGACTATTCTGACTGTATGAAATACTGAGGTTTGACGGAAAGTTTATGTTACTGAAAACAATATTCAGTAATAATTCATTAAAAGTGCTCAAAATTGTTTCGATGTCGTCTTGAGAACGACAGTATAAACAATTAGATGAATAGTTTATTATAAATCAATATGGCTATTCTATTAACGCAGAATTTCGAACAAAAGTTCAACAGTTCAAGTTACAAAACTTCGGGAAAGCACGTACAAGTGTAGAAAAAAAGTAATGAACTGGCGTGATAATTATTGTGGAATTATTCGGTCAAATCTTGGTGATTAGCTGAAGACTAGAGATTTTCAGAAAGTGGATGATGACGCGGAGTAATTACATCTTTGCTAATGAGAACGACTTTTAGCCAATAATCTCAAACCACTGATTCGTAGTATTCTAAAGACACCGGTCGGGTAGTCTCAACTTACCTGCGTTCCTTAAGCCAACCATGCTTCTCTCCAACCATCTATAACTATTTTCCAACCTAGTCCCATATCAGTTATTATCTCTTGTCAAACAAGATGACAAGTCGGCATACACAACACATATCCAATCACCCTCAATCTGTACAACTTCGCAACCTCATCGATCAACCTCCCGTCCTTATTTAGATTTCTGTACTTAATCAATGTCAAACAGTTTAGATTTGGAAGAATCTTCAGTTCTCTCTTACGTTAAATTAAATCTTATTTGATATTTTCGTAACATGCAAGACTCACTCATCTTTTTCAACTGACTCCAAATTCGATCCAGTTGACTCATCTTTCCCTGAAAATGTCTTCCTTGTTTGACTGTCGACATTAGCCAGTGATGATGTTGCTAATGAATCCTGCACTGAGTCACTAAACATAACCTTTTGACCACCAAGTGATTGTCTTGTTGAGGCTGACGGTACACAGGTAGATAATCGTTTCCAACGAAAATCTCCAATCTGGTATGGAGTAATACGTGAAATCAGCTGATCACATGTGTAAATTATAATAAAGAATGCAGTCAACAAATGGTCGAACCGTTGAACACGTTCAGTGAAATTTAATTTTGTAGTACTTTCTGGTTCATACATCTATTCAAAACAAAATACACGAATAAATTGGTAATTGAAACCAATCGAAATGAATGATTAGTACTACATTAAAAGAAAAACTTTACTGCAAATTCTTACTTCATAAGCTTCTTGTAGTGCAGTTTTACAATCGGAAACTAATTGACATAAATGATTTCTTGCTTGAATTAACTGCTTTAAACGGTGTAGCTCTTCTCTCCTTATGTACTTGTATTCTTCAAACTGCGATAATGACTCGTCATACTTTGACCTGTGTAATTAAAAGAAAGTTGATTATATGTATACCGATTAGGGTGGGATTTTGAAAAGTCGACTGTACTTATCCACATTCCATTTGCATTCCGAGTGGAGTACAAGGCTTCAAGCGAGAGCAGGTGGGGATATCTTTCTTTCTTATGTGGTGAGGCTGCTAACCTCACACCCAACCTTTCCTTTTCATCACAAGGCTTACTTACTACTGGCCAAGTGAGTTAAAGGGTTGCGTCTACTTGGAATCGAACCCCGAACCATGTGCGTTGTTGACAAGTATTACACAACTGAACCTCTGACACCTCCGATAGCAGGTGTTGGAATGATTTAATTAGGCATTAGGAACATACGTATGAAATTCTGGATATAATGAAATATACCTGAATTGTTACTCATTGTGTCAGAAGTGCTTGTAAGGCATACACAGGTCGCTGAAAATCTTACTTGTTTTCAATTAGGCCTTTATAATTGATAATACAGGAAAGCACAAGTCACGTATGAAGAATAAACTCCAGATATTTTATAGTTCAGTCATTCTCACATGATTAAACATCAAAGAAATCCAGGGTACATCAACAAATGAATCAAGAGTAAAAAGAATAACTCATACGCTAACACTCTGTCTTATATTACAAATATATCTGTAGTGCACATTGTACCTTTGAACTTTTGTTTAAACTGACTCACCCACGGTGATCCACGTTTTACCTTTTGACTTGTGAGTCTTCCGTACGTTCATCGGTTCGCTCTCTTGTTGTGCTCTCTTTCTGCACACTCTCCGAGCCTACCTCCAGCAACGTCTGCAGATAAGTTGTACGACTTCTTTATTTATTGAATTTTATATTTCGTTGAATAAAATATAATTCTCCCAGGTACTCTTGTCACATCAAGTCTTTTTACAACGATACCGTTCGTCAGTATTTGCGCGTCGAGTAGTGTACTGCTAAGCTTAACAGGTCGCAAAACGGTGAAGAAGTTTGTAAGGGTGTTTAGAGTATAGGTCCACTCTAAGCCGTAGTAGAACTCTTACAAGTGGTGAGCCCGACGTGATGCGACCTGTTAAGCTTAGCAGTACACTACTCGACGCGCAAATACTGACGAACGGTATCGTTGTAAAAAGATTGATGTGACAAGAGTACCTGGGAGAATTATATTTTATTCAACGAAATATAAAATTCAATAAATAAAGAAGTCGTACAACTTATCTGCAGACGTTGCTGGAGGTAGGCTCGGAGAGTGTGCAGAAAGAGAGCACAACAAGAGAGCGAACCGATGAACGTACGGAAGACTCACAAGTCACAATACCGTTCGTCAGTATTTGCGCGTCGAGTAGTGTACTGCTAAGCTTAACAGGTCGCAAAACGGTGAAGAAGTTTGTAAGGGTGTTTAGAGTATAGGTCCACTCTAAGCCGTAGTAGAACTCTTACATATCCAAGCAGAAACAGGTTTCAGTTAAAACGAAATTCCTTATTGATCTGTTAGTTGATCAAGAAAAAAATTGTTTGGTAAGACGTCACAGGAAATTCTTGACTATATAAGAGATAAATGTGAATTATGGAATACATGGGCAGTTTTGTTTCAACCACAGGTAGTTAGAGCGGATGAAAACAGACGAAAAGAAATACAGTAGACTGATGCAGCAAGACTTCTGTTGTACAAATAAAGATAAACTGCAAAAACACTGATACTAATTAGTTCTCTTGACTAGATATTGTAATACCAAAAGTCTCTAAATACCCAACGCAATTAAATCTTGGTTGTTGACCAATAAGCTTGTCTAAGGCATTCAAAAATGTTCAGAGGGATAAAACAACTTCTTAAGAAACTGACAGATAGCATACATTTAGGCACAGTACCTAAAAACGCCCTTATAAAAATTAATAGCCAAATATCAGTTTAGTTGACGAAAAGTATCCATCCAGAGACAGAAATAAGGACAACCGGCTCAGCGATGAGAATGTTTTCGTCTGTTAGAGGAAATCTATTCTCCAAAAAGAGCCTCTTCGCTGAAATGTTTGTTTTTAAATACCAGTTTGTTATTAGACATTTACATTGGTATACAATACTTTCAGCTATAACCATATCTTATAAATACACTAAATTATTATTATTTCAATTCTCTCACGAGATATATAAATATATATATGATTGTACAGCTTGATAACAAATTCGTTGAAAAGAATCGCTTCGCTGAATCACTTCTTTTCATTTTCACTAGAATTTAGTGTTCTCTATTTATATAAATTAGGGCAAACTGAAGTGTGTTTTCACGGATTAACTAAGAAAGCACCAAACGACACTGTCATTTCACTTAGATTCACGAACGTACTTAAAAATCGATCAGCAATGAAAACGAAATAGTCAACCATTTAGTGAGTGACTACGACTCTTAGTTGAAATATGAAGGGAGATCAGTCGATTAGATTAATTAAAAGTACTTATGAGACATTGCAAGTAAAAACATACACGAAATGATGCTCATGACACGAGTTCTATATATTTCGGCTCAGTAGTGTAGCTGATGGTACTCAGTTTGCGTTGAAAGTTAATTATTAACTGAAATGCACTGAAATTCAACTGACTGAAAAATTATAATTAAGCAGAACCACTGGACTTCAATTCGAAGAAATAAGAGATTACAATTTTTAAAATCACAATACTGATCGTGTCAAAAAAAGAAACAGAAGACAGATGTTGTTACTATTACCTTAGATTGTGTACTTCTTCATTGAGTTCATCTCCTTTTATATTCATATCGTCAATATGTGTTTGAAACAAGTCCTTATTCAGTATACAAACATTTTCTTTCATTGGGAACATTTCTTTAATTGAGAATAACTTTTTTTCCTTTTCCAAACAATTAGATATCGAATGCTTCAGTGACTGAATGAAATTATATTTTTTGAAATAGAAAATGAATAAAACATTGGAAATTGAATATTACTGTAAATATTACGGTAGAAATTAATATCGTTTTACTTTTGACAACAGACTATGCACTACGTGCTTAGCTATCCCACTAGAAGCAGATAACTACATCCACTTGTGGAGGTAATTAAACCTAAAATACTGAGAGCCTGATAAGTACTAGAATTCTTCTAAGCGTATATTTGGAAAAATGCCTTAAAAGGAAGCAAACTTCTTACGCATGCAACAACCACATATTTAGCAGAATCCTGATACAGGATATAAGTATTTCGGTAATTCAGAATAATAAATAAACAAGACGGAGTAGTTGATTCACGTTTACTTAAGCTATTTGTATCAAATACTTTCAGCCTGACTTTGATATCACACATGAAATTCTGCTCCTTCTAGCTTTGTTATTACATTTGAATCTCATCTGTAATTAATCATCATTTGCATTTTTCTTTTTGATCACAGTCATTTCATCAAATTCTTATTATTTGAATGACTATTCCTGTCTTTATCAGAATGCTTTTTTCTGTTTTCCCTGACCCATTATTTGCACATTTCTGAAGTCATCTTTCGGATATAACATAAACTGTAATAAATTTTGGCAATGAAATATAATTCTTAATTTTCTAAATCTTATTTTTATAACTAAACTTACTTTGCATGTTGACATCTGTTTGAAAATATCCGACGTATTTTATGCCTTCGCCTCGTGATAATTCTCACACATTTTAAACAGTCAGCAATTAACTGAATCATGTGAAACAAAATGACATCATTTGTACGGCTTAATCGTTTGTTCTTTATTCAAAGTTCTCAAGAGAACAAACTGTATGAATAAACCAAATACTACAAAAGGTAATAAAATATGCAGAGTACCTATGCCTAGCGAAAGTAGACCAATGAATTTTCGAACTGCAACTACGATATTTGTGAAGGCTGAAGTGAATTTTCGACGGAGAACTTTACACAAGGTTCAGAAGTTCACTTGGCTACTCTTCATAAAAGCACTCATAAAGGTTGGGAAAAAACTGCAAAGAAACTACAAAAACGGACGTAAGAACAGTTATACGAGGAAATGCAAAATGGAAACATCTTGCACTTATCAAAATTATAAGCAAACAAAAATCATAACCCCGAGGAGTACTGTTTCTAAATTACTAAGGCTTAACTTCACTAAAATCATTGTTCAAGTGTAAGATATAAAGTAGAAAACAGTTTGACTCACTTGGATCTGATTCGACCAATTTTTATGCATTTCGTTTCTAACGTCTCGTAAGACATGAACATCATGCTTCAATTGTTTAGTGGCTTGTTTATACGATTTATTTTTACCCATAATATTCAGCATTTCAGTGCTTAAACATGATAATTTTTCATTTAGTGTATAATTTGATTCTAAAGTTCGACGTTCTGTTTTGTTAACACGTTTTTCTGTTGCTATTCGAAATTCTTCAGCCAAATGTGACAGTTTGCGCAACATTTCCTTGTATAATCTGTTGTTTATATTTGGGGAAAAACGACAGTGATAAAGTGTCACTACACCACAAAGTAAATATTATCTTTAAATTTGAACCTCGAGAAAACTGATAAAGTTTGTTTGAAGATTTGATGTACATATTACGTCTGAAGTGGCTTTCTCTTCTGCAACAAAAACAGAAACATAATAGCTGTAATATGAGGTTGGAATACAAGTCACTTAGGTCACTCGGATTTGTGGTATTTCGGTAATTCCAGTGAAAATGCACATGGCTAATTATTGGTGCTTACTTAGTCAGTCATATTTTCCCTAATGTCAAAGCTTATTCATAATTGCATCAAATAGTTAGAAAACTTTTGTAATCCACTTAAGGACTGATGGGTCAACTAACAACTTAGTATGAAGACTGTCACCATTAACAAATGTACACAGAATGAGGGAGCAGAAATGCATTGATACTGGAATATTAAATAGGCGGTTGCAGTAAAATGCTTTACAAACTTAATGATGAAATATACCTGTGAAAAACACTAATCTATCTTTTGCCATGAATGTGTGTACATCGACAAAATCTGCAGCTCTTTGAATATATTGCGAAGCGAGCACTTCAAATGCAAATTGAAACTGTTAGTCGACAGCGTTGTATTAATCTGTAAAGATGCAAAAGTCGAACTCTGTGAAATTGCTCAATTATATTTTTCGTTATTATGGTCAAATACAGCAATCGCGTATACTTCACTTTCCTTCTGGGTCAGTGGCTGGATAGGAATTTGTTTTTGCGTACTTACTGTTCTGTACTGAGACTCCGATGCAAGTTTATTCAATTAATAGTATTCACACTTCTAATGAAGAAATAAATGGTAAAAGTCAACGTAATTATCCACGAACAGTTATAAGTAAGTCTGTACAGCTACTCTCAGTTCAAAGCAGTAAGCGGTGCGGCTGAAAAGCCGATAATTACTTTACGCTGCATTATGGCCACAGCTAAAGATCACATGTAAATTCTAAACGTACCGATCAAATGAATTTTACCGTTTGGATGTAGAGTCGGACATGTGAATTTATCCTAGCCCGAAATGCTAAACTGCTTTTAATTGGAAACATATCAAATAAATAGTCACACAAAGGCCTATGTATGATGGAGACTTCATTAGTATAAAAATGTGTATGCACTCCGCCCGGAACAAGCTGGATTGAGAAAAGGAAAATCGTGTGTGGATCAAATTGCAACTCTACTCATCGTCATCGAACAAAGCATAGAATGGCAGTCAAACCTCAACTTCATCGACTTCGAAAAGGCCTTCGACAGATAGCGTTGGCCGGGAAGTAATTTCGAAACTGCTTCAACACTATGGCATACCTCAAGTCTCTGTCAGCCTCATTTAACAGCTTTAGGACAATACCACGTGTCAAGTGATTCACAACGGAAAAGTCAGCGAGGTGTTCGAACTGCATACAGGAGTAAGACAAAGCTGCCTATTACCACCGATAATACTCTTAATTGTGATAGACTTGATTATGAGTCAGACTGTTTGGGATGAGGAGTCAGGAATACGCTGGATGACCGACAAAAGGCTCCAGAAGACCTGAAATTCCTGTGTGGATGATTTATGTCTAATGTCACACAAACTCGAAGACTTGCAAGAGAATATCAACAAACTGGCAGAAGAGGCAGGGAAAACAGGGCTGCAGGCAGGCATAGTGAAGACGGCGGCGATGAAGATAACCAATCAACAGCAACAACAACCAGCATCAATCACCATCAACGGGAGAGATTTAACAGAGATTGCCTCCTTCACTTATCTGGGAAGCATAGTTTCAACTACAGGCGGAACAGACGAAGATGTCAAAGTCATAATAGTAAAGGCAAGGTAAGATACGCCTTCATCAACCTGAAAGCGGTTTGGAAATCTTCTGCATTCAGGATAAGGAACAAGATTCTCATTTTCAACACCAATGTGAAGTTGGTTCTTCTATACGGGTCAGAAACTTGTACTGAATGTCACGAAAAGCATTTCTAACAGGTTGCAGGCCTTCATCAATGGCTGCCTTCTTCGACTTCAGATTGAAGATCAAATGGCCAGAAAGAATAGGCAACAAGAAACTCTGGAAACAAACCAGCAGGCGGGAACCGATCGCTCAACGAGTATGTAGGAGAAAGCGGAAATATATCGGGCATACGTTGAGGAGGCCACCTAGTGATATCGCACGCCAGGCCATCGCTCTAGTGAAATCCCGTTGGGTGGTCCTAGTGTGACATGGAGGAGATCGTGTGAGGAAGAGATGAAAGAGTTTAGTCGATTGAAACCCAGATTAAGAGGAAAGCATAAAACAGAAGAAAGTGGAGATGTGTTGTTGAAGCCGTATGTTCCACTCGGAATGCAAGCAAACAATAATACTAACATATGAATAACTATAAGCATGCTACAAGGCCAAAAGATTACAGGCATATATGCCTGCACATAAAATCTGATTGCATGCTACAAAAGTGTATCAAAACTCACTGATCTTGTGTGACTGTCAACTCTAAATCTTTTTCATGATACTTAAACTTGTTAATTTTCCGTGTTTCTCCAATTAGATTTTCCATTTCTATTGTCTTCGTGTGTAATTGTGCTCTCTCAACATCCAATATCCAATATCGTTTTTACGAGCTAGTATAAACCAATTTGATTTCTTTGTGCTCGCCTCTTGATTGTGAGGTATAGGTTCTTGATCTTCGGTAAACTTCTGCGTAGCTTGTCCCGCCACTCGACTGTCGTAGCTTTGGTTGACTCCAAAGGGAGTAGTGCTGGGATTAATTATATGTGGTTTGTAGTATGAGGTATGTTAAGACTGTTACTACTGTGATTGGAGTTGATCCTTTCGCCAGTTAGTCCTTCGGTATTGTCGACAAGAGAAAAGAGATAGTAATAATAATAATAATAGTAATAATAATAATAATAGATATAATTAGTGAAGCTATTCAGACTAAGAGACAGAAACGAAAATAGGAAACGTAACAACAGTCAGCTCATGAAGTTTGAAGAATAATATATATATCGGTAATAGTAATAATAATAATAGTAATTATAATATTAATAAGTTGTCAGGAGAGTAAGACGGGAGAGAATGTAAAGAAGTAAAATGACGAGTTTAATTATCTACCCTGATTGGTAAATGCGATTTTAAGGAGATAGGCCATTTGGATGCAGTCCTTGTATAGCTGCATGGTTGTCCAGCCTTCGCTTAAAGGCGTCCAAAGACGGTGCCATAGCTACATCTGCCGGTAAGGAATTCCAGGGACGACAAACCCGCAGTGAAAAGAAGTGGGAGCGCACCCGGGTCCTTGCCCTCTGGTGAGCTATCCTTCTGGGATTTCCACGTGGAAGCCTATACCTACTCAATGGCAGAACACCTTTGTTTGGGTGATTCTGGTCATTTGTTATTTTGTAGGCAGTAATCAAATCCCCCCTAAGCCGACGGTAACTAAGTGTGAACAGGCCTAATTTCTTCAGCCTTTCATCATATGGTTTGTTTCGGAGACCAACCACTCCTTTTGTTGCCCGTCGTTGGACTCTCTCCAAGAGGTTGGCATCTCTTCTCAGCATTGGGGGTGCAATAATATTATGCACCTCAAGGTGTGGCCTGACGTATGTTTTGTACAACATTAGAAAGAGCTCAGGAGTGAGTGCACCTAACTGTCTATGCGTAAAGTGTATGACCGCATATGCCCTCGCTACATCCCCTGTGTAATTTACGCTTGTGTCCATTTTTTCCGTTAGAACTAGACCTAAGTCGCGTTCCGACGTTGTGCAGGACAAGCTTTCATTGCACAGGGTGTAACTTGCATTCTGCAGTCTACAGGTGCGCAACTTCACTACTTTGCACTTTTTCAGTTGAAAGTCATGCCACTGGCCACCGCCAGTCTTCCAGAAGGTTTAGGTCTTCTGTAGCCTATCTGAGTCCTCAAAGATCTTCTAACGATGCTATTTTACCAGCTATGTAAGTGGAAGTTGAAAAAGTGCTGAAAAGACCTACTTAAAACGGCCTTCTCAGAATTAAGTTTCTCTTCAACGGCCTCTATCTCAAACCTGAGTTTAGCCACGATATTATTATGTTCTAGCTGCTTTTCATTCATCCTACTGCAGAGTGCACTTAGATTTTCCTTCAGTTCACTAATATCTTGGTCTAAAAAGCAATTATCAAAGTAAATTTTTGTAAGAATAACCTTTATGTTGAATGCAATTTTGAATATATCCAATTAGCCCTTCACCCTCTAACCCATCTTTCTCGAACTGAAGTGAAAGCTGTGAGTTTAAATCCTTCAAACTGTCTATCACATACTGATATCTTATTAATTCATAGCGAAATCTACTTAATTACTCTTTTGTTTTCTTCTTTAATGTTGTGATCTGTACTTCATACACTTTTGGATCATAAGATTCTTTGTTTGAAGCATTTGAATGCCTTCCACTCTTTCTAGGAGAATTCGTGCTTCTCCTGCTTTTTGTCTTCTTTCTTACCATTTAACCATTAAATCTATTCATAATAGCCGTTTACTATTGTTATGGCAATATGTAACTTCTGAATAGTATAACACATTATTCAATATCCAATAATATTCGGACAGGTTAATCCAATATGCTGACTATGAGCTAGTATAAACAAGTGATTTCTTTGAGCTCGCTTCTTGATTGTGAGGTATAGGTTCCAAGTCTTCGGTGAGCTTCTGTGTAGTAGGTCCCGCCACTCTACTGCTTTAGCTCTGGTAGACTCCAAGAGGAGTGGTGCGGGGATTGGTCAAGATGTGGTTTGTAGTATGCAGTATGTTGGGACTGTGTTGCTGCCGTGAATGGAGTTTGACCTAACTCCCGTTGGTCATTCGGTGTAGTCATAAAAGCAGAAATAGTAATAATAATAATAGTTGTAGTGTAGATAATATGGGTTGAGATAAATGAAATAATAAAGGTGACCTAAGGAAAAGATGGAGTAGTAGGTACAGTGAGAGAAGGCAGAACAGGTCGTGGGGATTTAGTTTGTATGCTTATCCATTGACAGCGTGGTTTTAAGTTTTATGAAGATAAGCCATTGAGACACAAACCTTGCATTTCTGCATGATTGTCCAGCTTCCGCCTAAAAATCTCCACAGATGGCGTTGTAGTCACGGCCGCCGGTAAAGCGTTCCAGAGAAGGCAAACTCGAAGCAAAAAGAAATGTGAGCGCACTCGAGTCTTTGGTCTCTGGTGTGCTATCCTTAGCGGGTTACCTCGTGGAAGCCTATAATCACTTAATGGCAGGATGCTTTAATTTGGGTGGGCCTGGTCATTTAAGATCTGGTAGACGGTTATGAGGTTTCTCCTGTGCCAACGGTAACTAAGTGTGAAAAGACCTAGTTTCTTTAGTCGTTCCTCATATGATTTGTTGCGGAGGCCGATCACCCATTTTGTCGCTCGTCTCTGGACACTTTCTAGAACGTTAGCATCCCTTTTGAGTAGCGGAGGAGCAATGATATTATGCACCTCAAGGTGTGGCTTCACATATTACTTATATAACCTTAAGAACAGTTCGGGAGTAAGAGCTTCCAGCTTCCTATGCATAAAGTGTAAAGTTGCGTAGGCTTTGGCGACGTCCCTCGCGTAATTTCCACTGGTGTCTAGCTTTTCTGTTAGAATAAGTCCTAGATCGAGCTTTGATGGAACACAACTCAGGTTCTGGCCACCAAGGGTGTAATTTACACTCCGTGACCTGCTGGAATGAAGTTGCGCTACTTTGCACTTCTTTAGGTTGAAAGGCATTCCGTTAGCCAGAGCCCAGTTTCCCAAAGTTTGCAGGTCAGCCTGCAATCTGTCTGAGTCTTCCGATGAGTTTATTGCTCTCCACATCTTCACGTCGTCAGCGTAAAGAAGTGCAGAGCAGTTCAGTTGAGAGGGCAGGTTGTTGATAAAAATCAAAAACATCAACGGCCCTAAGATAGAACCCAGAGGATCTCCTGATACCGAGGTGTGCCAGGATGATCGGATGCGGTTGACTTTGGTGCAGAATTCTCTCTCGCCTAAGTAATCTTTCGGCCATGCGAGAAGTGCTTCAGAAACACCCGCCTTGCTTATTTTGTGAAGGAGCAGACCATGGTGAACTGTGTTGAATGCTTTCGCAAAGTCGAGAAAGATCACATGGGCTGGTACCTTTTCGTCCCAGGATAGTGTCCAATCGTTCCAAGCTAGTAGAAGATTCTTCACGCAGGATCTTCCCCTCCTGAAACCGTGCTGTGCTTCGTGGAGAAGGTCAGTCCCGTCGAAGTATTTTCTCATGTGGTCGTCAATGAGACTTTCCAATATCTTCGATATCACTGGAAGTAGAGCAACTGGTCTGTAACTGGTGCATTCTGCCGGTCACCACTCTTGAAGATAGGGGATAGGTTTGCTCGTTTCCATTCACATGGAAGTTTCCCTACATCAAGGGAGTGTTGGAACAGATCACTTAGGGGTTGGCAGATACTTTCTGAACACTGCTTCAGGACGGATGGTCTGATGTCATCACAACCTGAAGAATTTCCAGAGGCCAACTTTCCCAATTTTACAAGTACCATAGCAGGGGTAATTTGAAATGCACCCAGCAGGTTTTCATGCGTTGGTTTGGAAATGTAATCTTGATGTTTTGTGAGGGTAATACCCTCGTTACGTTTAGTTTCCTGTGAAAGGCTAGGCTGAATGTCTCTGCCATTTCAAGACTGGTAAGAGATTTCCCATCAGAACCCACTAGATTGCATGCTCCCTGGTTGGTCGGTTTTCTTTCAGACATAAACCTGTATAGGCTTTTGAGGTTCACGAGAAGCTTATTGGCGAGGTTTCCCTGAAATGTCCTTCTATCGCTCCGGACTATTATGTTACATCGATTCCTAAGTTCAGGGTACACTTCATGTTCGGGTTGACTCTTCGATCGTCGCCACGCAAACCAGGCTTTTCGCTCCGCCTGCAGAAGGCTTTGTGTCCTCCTCTTTAGCCAAAAGCTTAGTATAACGGACGAAACAAAAACATCTTTTATTGTTACACCAACATAAAAATATAGTTGAACAAATTTACAATAATAATCATTCTGAGTTTCTTCTTTCTGAACAGCGACCGATGAGACGATGACTGTCGTATTGATGCCTCCCGAAAATGGGAAGTTGATTTGAGCAAACAACCAGAATTGATCGTTCAATCTTCAACTCCATTGACACTCCCGGCAAAAAGATCAACCCTTTTTTCCTCACGACAATCACGTTGACTTGGATGCCATGCGAGAACTGGGTCACACGGACAGAGCTGAAATGGAAAACAAACAGAAAAGCCAACACACCACAAGCATACCCACAGCACAATCTCACACATCTGACGACCTGCGCCTCCAGACAGAGACCTCCTCTTGACATCTTCAACACAATCGCCCTTGCTAGAATGACTCTTGCAGAATGCAACGTGACCATAGCAGCACCTCATGATACTCTCCATCCTCTTCTACTACAATTACACTGAAATCGCTTGTCACCATTCTGCCTCAGTTCTAGTACGGTGAGCATGCGAGCCTCAGTCGTTTACACTCTTTCTCCCCGGCGTGTCGGACCGCAGCTAACAATTATCTCCGTGTGCATTTCATTCTCAGCAATAGCCTCCCGGCGTATACGACCATCTGCTGTCTAACATCAATCATCATTCATGTAGAAGACAACACTTCAGAAGTAATCACGACGAAAATTTAACAAAATTACGCAAACAACAAGAAACACAATGAATCCAAAAACACAATTGATATGACACACCACACTATACAAAAGTAAAACCTCGATCATGTCTGGTGGAATTCCTTTGAAGAATTGCAGGACTTACACCAGTACGCCTCAACCCTTCAGGTTGACGATTGTAATGTGGAATGTCGGACACAAACAAGATTAACCAACAATTACATAATTGGAACTCACACAATATTTAACACAAACATATGTACAATCAACACATCAAATGTTGTATTCTGCACGCAACTACCCTTGAAGAACTGTAGGACTTACAGCAGTACGCCTACAACCCTTCTCAGGTTGACGCCCTAGGTTGGAAAATCGTCGCAGAGTTCATTTGCTAACTTCCTTCTATCAGCTATATCCTCAAATCTGAACGGCAACACGCCCATGTCATTGTATCGTAGAATATAGATGACCAACAAACACACGCATATCTATCAACCAAGTTAGAAACAGAGTAATTTACACCAAAGATAATAACATTCAAATATAACTTGAAACTAGAAATGCCTTTATTCGTGCAAGTCAATTTAACAATTACTCTCTTTTACACTTGGCTTATCTCACTAAACTGACATATCGTCTTTCAAACGAATACTCATAGTCATTGCAAAGATACTTGAGTTGATGGGTCTGTTTCATTGTGGATGAAAACACCAACGATGACTGAGTGACACAAGGTGATGAACTTAGCGGTGGATCAGAAGCTGTTTTTTCGGCTTCAGATAGTTGTCCAACTGCAAGATTACCACTGCTGTCTTTCACTACTAGTTCGGGTTTAGCACTATCATCTGATGATAGGTGGCTACACGCTGATCAATTACACTGACTGTCTCACAAGTATGCACACTTCTGGAACTGCATCTGCGTTCAATTCTACTTCACGTTAGTTGTACAGAACCTTTATTTAACTTAGCAGTAGTAGGCATATCCCTCATCATATGATCAACCAAAGACAATGTGAAGTATCATGATCATTATCAAATATTCACTTTACCGTCAAGTTCATCATTTTCAAACTCTTTAATAACAGAAGTAGACAATTTTGGTTCCTCCTCAAAATCATTAAAGGTTTTATATCTTCACTCTGACTAGTATACTTGTAAACTTTTGGAGTCAGAACTGCACTCTGAAGCAGTAACTCTATTCTGTGACACTCTATTCAACAACGGCTTACCAGTTGCAACTACAGACTTCTTCACACACGTTATCGTCACACAATTCGGAGTCAGCCTGGAGTTTACATTTAGCTTATCACTGAACTTGCTACTGGTTCACAGTTCACTTCTGTATGCACCTCTTGCAACGTGTAAAACAAAGCCGTGTTTGTCTTGCATCTTGAACTTATCTGTTGAGGATGTACTACGAAACCTGTTACACTCACTAGTCTATATGCATACTAGACATCATGGCTTCTCGATATCCACCTCAGTCGTCATCATGATTGCTTTTCTCAGATGCTCTATTCTGGGTGAGATAAGGAACAGTGTCTGAAACCGCCAGGTGGATGATTTCCTTCACCACTCTCCAGTGTTCTTCTACCGTTAGCTCTGTCCATTTTCTAGGCCAATTTGCTTCAGACAGAATTCTTCGCATTTTGGTGTATTTGGCTTTGTTGCAACACAGATGGGGCTGCGCATTGTCCCACTGTAAGCGCTCGCGGAGGACTATGTCGAATACTATGACCGCGTGGTCACTACTATCTATGGGAGTCGTGATCTGAACGTTTTCCACTAGTAGCTGGTCACTAGT